CAGAGGACGCTTCGCTGTCGTTCACACTGGACTCTGGAGCCTCCCACTGCTTCTTTCGGGACAGCACGACACTTACACCACTTCCTGCGCCTGTTTCTGTAGCGTTGGCTGATCCCACTACGGGACCAGTCACTGCACGTCACACTACCACTTTACCGTGTCCTGCTGCTCCCTCCGGGTCTCTCACTGGGTTTCACGTCCCCTCGTTCTCCCGGAACTTGGTGGGCGTGCGACCCCTCGTGAGCCAGCACGTGGGTGTGTGGTTTGAGCCTTCTGGAGAGACTGCGGTGTGTGTTGACGGAGACTCTTACCAGCCTCTTGCTACCTTTACTGCTGAGCCGGGCTCGGGTCTCTACACTCTTCACACTGGCCCGCGTGCGCCGCAGCAGCAGCCGCAGCAGCAGCAGCAGCCGCAGCCGCAGCAGCAGCAGCAGCAGCAGCAGCACCAGCGGCCGCACCAGCAGCCCCCCCTACTGCCACTGCCCCCGGTTCCCCCCCCCGTTCGGGTCCCCGCGTCTCACCAGGTTGCTACGTCCCCCCAGGTGTCTGTGTCGTGTCAGGTTCCTCCGTCTGTTCCAGTCGCTGCGTCGTGCTCCTGCCGGTCGCTTGCCCACCCCACCGTTCTGTGGCACCACCGGATGGGGCACCCGTCCCTTCCACGTCTGCGCGCTATGTCTAGTCAGCGTCTTGTCCTAGGCCTCCCACGTGTCTTGCCGTCGCTGCCGCCTTCGCCTGCGCCGCCGTGTCGTCCCTGCGTCGAGGGTAGGCTGCGCGCCACCCCTCACTCCTCCTCCCTTCGTCCGGCCACCGAGCCTTTTGAGACGCTTCACTTGGACGTCTGGGGCCCAGCCCCTCGTCTAGGCCCTGAGCGTGAGCGTTACTTTCTGGTGGTCGTTGACGACTTCTCCCGCTACACCACAGTGTTCCCTCTGGCGAAGAAGTCTGAGGTGACTTCTACGCTGATCAGGTGGTTGCTCACCACCGAGGACACTCGTGGTCGTCGTGTCAGCTGTCTCCACTCCGACCGTGGGGGTGAGTTTCGCTCCGGCATTCTCGCTGGATTCTGTCGCGAGCAGGGCATTCGTCAGTCCTGGACGCTTCCAGAGTCCCCACAGCAGAATGGGGTTGCTGAGCGCCGCATAGGCCTGGTCATGGAGATCGCCCGCACCTCCCTGACTCACGCCTGTGCCCCCCATTTTCTGTGGCCCTACGCGGTCAGGTACGCCGCGCACCAGCTGAACCTCTGGCCACGTGTCTCTCGACCAGAGGTTTCACCGACCAGTCTTTGGACAGGGTTCCCTGGTGTTGCGTCGCGGTTTCGTGTCTGGGGGTGCTTGGCTCTTGTCCGCGACACCTCCGCGGACAAGCTCTCGCCTCGTGCCGTCCCCTGTGTCTTCCTTGGTTTCCCTGAGGACTCCTCTGACTTCACCTTTTACCACCCTCCCTCTCACCGGTTCTTTGACTCCCGTGACGTCCGTTTCGAGGAGTCCACTCCGTACTACGTCAGGTACCCCAGTCGAGGTCTCCCGGTTCCTCCTCCCCCCCTCTTCCTGACTGCCGTTCCCCCTCCTGCTCCCCCGGTACAGCCTCCCCCCCCTGGTCCAGCCCCGTCAGGTGTGTCCCAGGCTACCCCTCCTCCTTCGGTAGCCCCTCCGGTACAGCCTCCCTCCCCACAGTCCTCCTCGCAGCGTGCCGCTGGTGCTAGCTCTCGAGAGGTTGGTGCGACGCCTGTTCCTGTACCGGTTTCTGGTTCTGGGGGTGCTGGAGTTGGAGCTGGAGTTGGAGCTGGAGTTGGAGCTGGAGTTGGCACTGGAGTTTCTGGTTCTGGGGGTGCTGGAGTTGGAGCTGGGGTTGGAGCTGGAGTTTCTGGTTCTGGAGTTGGAGCTGACCAGGTGGGTGCAGAGGACGCTTGTCGTCCGGGAGCTGGTGCTGGCCGCGCGGACACTGGGGGGGTGCTGCGTCTGGGGGTGAGGGTGCGCCTCCTTTGGGTTCAGGTGAGCCTGGGTCTGGAGCTGGTGTTAGTGCTGCCTCTGGGGGTGGTGAGCCTAGTTCTTCTGGAGTGGACTCTGGAGCTGCCGCTGCTTCGGACACTACTCCGCCCCCCCACCCCTACCCGACTAGGCACCAGGCTCGTGTTCGCCGTGCCCGTGACGATCAGCTGGCGTTGGAGAGAGAGGAGAGGGAGTTACAGCGGCTGGAGGAGCAGCAGCAGCAGCTGGACCCGCAGGAGCAGCAGTCCCAGCAGCAGCCGCGTCCGCAGCAGCAGCAGTCGCAGCCGCAGCAGCAGCAGCCACTTCCTCCTCCTGTCTCGGGTCTTCGGATCCTTGGTCTCCCCTCCCCTTCTCCTCCCTCCTCCGCCTCTCCTCCTGTCTACGGTCCCACGTTTCCTCCTCCTGACTCCTCCCCCGCTGTTTTCCCCAGTTCTCCGCCCTTGTCCTCTTCTCCTCCGTCTCGTTCTTGGGCTACTCGTCGCTCCCCTCGTGCTCGTCCCTCGTCTCCTGTTCCCTTCACTGACCTTCGTACTGCCTTCCTTCTTTCTAGTCCACCTCGTCCGTCTCAGTCTGTGCTTCCGTCTCCTCCTGAGTCGGCCCTCACTGTGTCGCTCCCTACTCCTGTCACTGACTACTACCGCACGTACCGTCCTGTTCTCTCTCGTGTTCTCGCCTCTCTTGTTACTCACCCTCGTGCCTCTGTGTCCTCTGTGTCCGCTCTTACTGCCGCAGTTACTGACTTTGCCTCTACCCGCCGCCTTGACTACGCCACCACGCTTGTGGCTGCTCCTCCTACCAGTCCTCTGGCCGTCGGGGGTGTGTCTGCCCTTGGCTGTGACGCCCTAGAGGACAGGCAGTTTGAGCTAGAGTTCCTGGCGGCCGCTTCCCCTCATCTCTGTGCCATGCTCCTCGCCCCTGAGGGTGACCCCGACGCCCTTGACATTCCGACTCCTCGCACTTACGCTGAGGCAGTGTCAGGGCCTTGGGCCTCTCAGTGGAGAGCTGCCATGGACGCAGAGATGGCCTCCTACAGATCCACAGGCACCTACGTCGATGAGGTTCCCCCCCCTGGGGCGAACGTAGTCGACGGCATGTGGATCTACAGGGTGAAGCGGCCACCGGGATCTCCCCCGGTCTTCAAGGCGCGCTACGTGGCTAGAGGTTTCAGTCAGCGCGAGGGAGTTGACTTCTTTCAGACCTTCGCACCTACCCCGAAGATGACCACTCTTCGGGTGTTACTACACGTAGCAGCACAGAGAGACTACGAGTTACACTCTCTTGACTTCTCCACTGCTTTCCTTCAGGGCAGCCTACACGAGGAGGTCTGGTTGCGTCGTCCCTCGGCCTTCACTGGCACCTTCCCTCCTGGGACCCAGTGGAGGCTGAGACGACCTGTTTACGGTCTTCGCCAGGCCCCTCGTGAGTGGCACGACACTCTGCGTTCTACCCTCTCTGACCTTGGGTTCCAGCCGTCTTCTGCCGACCCGTCGCTGTTCGTTCGTCGTGGCTCCACACCGTTCTTTGTTCTGGTTTACGTCGACGACCTCGTTTTCGCCACTCCGGACAGGGTTGCTTTGGCAGACGTGAAGTCCGAACTGCAGAAGAGACACACGTGCACTGATCTTGGTGAACTGCGCCACTACCTTGGCCTGCAGATCACCAGGGACAGAGCCGCTCGCACCATTACACTCTCACAGTCACACATGGTGCAGCAGGTCCTTCAGCGGTTCGGGCTTCAGCACTCCACCGTACAGCGCACACCTCTAGCTGTTGACCACAGACTCACTGGTCCCTTTCCTGACGAGCCGTTTGAGCCTAGTGGTCCCTACGCAGAGCTTGTGGGTTGCCTCATGTACCTGATGACTTGTACTCGCCCGGACCTCGCCTTCCCTCTCAGCATCCTTGCGCGCTTTGTTGCGCCAGGGAGACACCGTCCTGTTCACTGGACGGCAGCTGTGAGGGTGGCGAAGTACCTAGCGACTACATCAGGCGTGGGGCTAGTTCTTGGAGGGCAGCAGTCTGTCGTACTTACTGGTCACTGTGACTCCTCTTACGCTGACGACGCTGAGACTCACAGGTCTACTCAGGGGTACTGTTTCAGTCTGGGTTCTGGAGCTGTTTCCTGGCGTTCCACGCGCTCCTCTTCTGTCTCGACCTCTACAGCTGAGGCTGAGATTTACGCTGGTGCCATGGCGGCACAGGAGTTGCGGTGGTTGACCTTCTTGCTCACTGACCTTGGTGAGCGGCCGAGCTCTGCACCGACCTTGTTTACTGACAACAAGGCGTCGATCCTCCTCTGTCGTGAGCCGCGACTGGAGAGCAGAGTGAAGCACATTCACATCAGGTACTTTCTTCTGCGAGAGTTGCAGAGGCGTGGACAGGCTCGCTTCGAGTTCGTAGAGTCCGAGGCCAACACTGCAGACATCTTCACCAAGGCGCTTCCGCCTTGTGACCACCAGAGGTGTTGTGTGCAGTTAGGCCTTGTTGACACAGGTTCTAGTCATGCGTAGACTTGAGTTTATTGCCTGCTTCGTCTGTACATTTACTATATATACTTGTGATCTCTTGGACTGGCCTTGTGGCCACTGTTGCTTGTGCTCAGAGTGTGTGGTGACGTTGTGATCCACCCTGAGCTTTGTTTTCTTTTGGACTGGTCTTGTGACCGTACTCTTTTTGTTTTTGCTAGACACCCCTCACTTAGGCTATGGGGGTGTGTCAAATGTTGTAGCCTGTAGTGAGGTTTGTCTTAGGGGGTACAGAAGTTAGGGTTTGTCATATGTACCCCAACCAACATCAATGCAACACTCATTCCTCATTCTGACATACTCTTATATAATCCTGTATCTCTTTGCTTTAATCAACTTACTTTGCCCTCACATACTAGTGCAAGGTGGTTCAGAACCCTTTAATTAACGCTTCCGCTACTACACCAACTCTACCCAGAGTTCACCCCTGCAAAGATCCCAAGGGGCTTTTCAGCCCAACACACATGAGGTGCTTCTGGTCGCTTTAGGACTTCAAACCACACAGCTTGGGCCCCTCAGCCAGTATCATACCCCAGGCTTCATTTGAGCATGGCAGGGAGTTTAGGTATCAGATTAATTATTTCATTCCGCAACCTTTTGTACAATTCATAAAAAGCCGGGAGGACATGGGAGTGGGAAACTAGTGTTCCGGGCTCACAAAGGCGGATCCCATCAGCAAAAAACAACACACATCCTTCTCAAGTAGTACTGCTGTCAGGCCCCCAATGTGCCATATCTATCATGGTTAGCACAAGCTGGTGCGCTGGACTGTTTAATCAGTCAGGGTGCAGTACTGACTGGTCAACCAGGCAGGGAAGCTGGAATACTGTCGCTGCAGTAATGTCTTCAAGCGTTGGTAACTCCCGAAGTCCACCTTCCGCACCACTTGCTCAGATTTATCCATCTTGGATCCATCCTCCCATGCACGCGCCGCGCCTCCTCGGCTTCAGTATGGTCTATATCCGATCAGCATCCGCTCGTTGCTGCTACCTTTTTGGTAATACGACTTGTACCACTGTACGAACTTTTGTAACCCCTCGTCTAGATCTGTAGAAGGACTGTAACCCAGCTCGTTCTCGGCGCGTGTGACATTCGCGTGTGTAAACAGCACCTCGCCGCTGCTGGGCATGGGAACCACATCCCTAATCGCGCGCGTCTCAAGATGCTTCTCCAGGAGCTTGACGAAATCCGTCACTTTAACCGGCTGAGTGTTCCCGAGGTTGAACACTCGGAACTGCGCGCGGCGCTTCTTCCCTTGCGTGCCCACGCCCACGCTGGGCGTGGCAGTATCTAGGGCGGCAACGCACCCCTTCACCACATCGTCAATGAACGTGAAATCGCGCGCCAGCTCTTGCCCGTTGGGCCCGCGGAAGATCTTAATTGGCTTCCCTTCCGCGATGTTCCTCGTGAAGGAAAAGTACGCCATGTCGGGCCGTCCCCAGGGTCCGTACACGGTGAAGAAGCGCAGCGCGGTGACGGAGAGACCGTAGATGTGGTTGTACGTGTGCCCAAGCATCTCATCCGCTTTCTTCGTCGCCGCGTATAAGCTCGCCGGGCGATCCGTGCGGTCGCTTTCCGAAAAGGGGACTTTTTTATTAAGACCGTAGACGCTGCTTGACGACGCGTACACGATGGCGGGCTGATGATCCGCCTTTCGCACGGCTTCGAGCAGATTCACGAAGCCCAAGACGTTGCTGTGGACGAACGCCAGCGGGTTGTGCACGGCGTATCGCACGCCGGCTTGCGCGGCGAGGTGGAGCACGTGCGTGAACCGTACGATTTCGAAGAGCTTGGAGACGAGCTGCTGGTCGTTGATGTCGCCTTCGACGACGAAGACTCCGTTGGAGAGCAACCGCTCCTCTCTGGCGCGTTTCAGCGGCACGGGATAGTAGTCGTTGAAGTTATCCAAACCGATTACGCCGTCGCCTCGTTCTTTAAGAGCCAGCGACGTGTGCGAACCAACGAATCCAGCGGCGCCCGTTACAAGCACCACCATGCCGCCCTCGCGAGGGACGGCGGAGAGTCGGATGCGGTCCTCCCATTCGTCCCCGCCCCATGTGGCGCCTTGCGTGCCTGTAGCGAGAGTTGTTGCTGGGACTGATGCGCGCGATGCTCCTCGAGTAGACATCCCGACGACCATGACTAGTAGAAAGACGGTGCAGCAGAGGCACTGAACGAAGGTCATGCTGCGAGCCATTTGCTGCATGAATAAGCTGCTTCTAAGCTTCTCTAAGTCTTCTAGACTCGACGGGAACTTGGTCGACGAGCTGTTCGTGGGAAGCCATTTTGCGGCCATGGCGATCGTCAACTGCAGGGCAACGCGTCTTCAGTTCCACGTACCCTTCTTGCCCTGGGCGTTATGCTAATTTTATTGGTGCTGGGAAGCGATGTAATGACGTGTGGAATTTGGGTGAAATCACGAGAGGGAGAGAGATTTGTGGAATGGGTTTGCTTGGCTTGGCTCACACAGCGTAGGCAGTCTTGGTTTTGTTCTCAAACTCCTCATGCCGTGACTGCCTGTTGGTTGACAAGGGAAGGGAGGACCGCGTTCCTTCCCGAGCCTCGTGGGCAGGTGCGACTGACGGTGAACTCCCCAAGCACCTCACTTGAAGTGTGCGCTTCGGCGGCGCTTCCGCTCCGTCAAACCTAAGCTTCGTCCGATAGCTAGCTTGTGTATGTTTTGTCGCATCTGTCCATCCCAAGGCAGTCACGCGGTTTGCGTGCACTGTGTGTGATTTTGTTGGGAGGCGTGAAAATGGAGAGGAGAACGCACCGGAGGATTCAGTACGATGTACTTGAACTAAAAAGCATATAGCACGTTACAGTACGGTACAATGACTGGCTGACGGCCCTCCTTGATTGACCTGGGCAGCTTCACCTACAGACAAGCACCAGAACCGGCGGCTCGCCGCAGGCACCGAACCGAACATGGTCTGATTGGGGGTCTCGTCTGGTGGCGGCCAAACAGCCATTGGCTGGAATAAATAATCCCCATTTTCTTGAGTTGGAGAATCAAATGTCGAAAGACGCCCTGTGAGTCCTGACCTGAGGTACCCACCTCCCGGTCCCGCAAGCTTTCACTGTACTGCACATTTTAAGCACCCCTTCCGAAGCGTATGAGGTTGCCTTGCATTGCTTTTGAACGTTTGAAGTTCGTGTGGAGAGCGAGGTACCTCAACTCAAATGTAATACGTATTGATGGGTGTAGTTTTTTTTGGGGGTGACTTTCAAATGAAGCGAACAATACGACGGCCTGTGCCAGCGAGTGTATTCGTAGGCTCACCGCCATCCGCAGTCACCACCTAGGAACACCTGCAAACCTGAATCTCTCTAATTTGACGCGGAACGACGCACTGCTACAGACAGCATATAAAATACAACATGCTAATGCTAACACTCAAAACTAGAATGGGGATGTAGGGAGAAGCAGTGCTCATCCACTTAATTCCAAAAACGCAATGCCTCAAATTTGTCACAGAAAGACGCGTGTACAAGGCGGTAGGATCTTCACACCACACAATATGCTGTCTTGGAAACCAGTCTTATCTAACCTGACTGCTCTTCCGTAAATTGCTTGATCCGTTCTCGGATGCGGTCAAGCAGAATAAACCGCGCCTTCTGGCGTTGCTTAAAGCGGTACCACCCGTCACGCATGATCCTCGCACCATCCACTTCCGGGCACGGGTAGTACCAAAGCCGAATGGACAGCCCACACGAATGCAGCACAGACATGCGCATGGGTCTCGTCTTCGCCTCACTGCCGGTTTCCCTCTGGCAGCCACACTCGCCTGTGTCAGCAAGCTGGGGGGTGAAGTCTGGATAGAAGAGCTGGAGTAGACCCAGGCGGTGCGTGAGCTGCAGGAAGGTGTATTCGTCGCCTGTGCCACAGATGCGGTTGATGGCTTCTAGCTTGTTCCTCCTGCCGAATCCCATCCCTGCAGCAGGAGGATTAGGAGAGAGCAGGAGATGATTCATTGTTCTTGTAAACCAGGTGTTGCGCCAAAGAGTTGGCGTTGCATGAAGGAGATCACGGCAGGCTACACAAACACAAGTTGTCAAAACATTGCAATGGAAAAATGCAAGAAACGGATGGCTCAAGTACAGGTAACAGGAGATCTGGGCAACGCCAAGTACAGTCGCATACACACACAATATGAGTACCACATATGAGTGGGAAAACGAAAGAGTAGCACATCGGGATGGCACACAAGGAAGGAGAAGCACGCGCAGGTCACGACACCTGGTTGGTAGCGGTGAGGAGAGTCATTGCGAAAGCCAATCATGCCCTCCTGCAGCGTGGGCGCGTGGGGAAAGAGGTCGCTGTACAGCGTGCTGCCGTTGATCCACTCGGGACTCTGTGGGCCGTCGATCTTCACCACTGGGATCTGCCAGGGTGGGTGGGGGGGATGGGGGAAGGGGCGCAGTGCTTGTTGGATAGAGGGACTTTCATGGACGACAAGCTCTTGCTGCCACGCACAGCAGTGGCAGGGGGCACGCAGGAGATGAAGCATGGCAGACAGATACTGCGAAAGAAAGCGCTGCAGCGACGACATCGTGGACAGCGAGCAGTGTGGGCTCATCTCATGCACGCGTCCACCCCATTATAGTCCACACGCACATTGAAGGCAGTCTTGCCGTGGGCCTCATGGCGGTCAGCCGCAGCAGCGAGGTACGTCCACACCTCGCGAGTGAGGAAGTGGTTGCCGTCCAGTGGCAGGATCCACCGCGCCCCGTTCGCTATGCCGTGATTCATCATCACAAGCCGCGCCTCGTTCATCGCTGCACAGGCATGATCACAGGGGGTCAAGGCCGTGACGCATGGGGAGCGTGGGGTGGGGCATGGGGTGTGGGGCATGAGGTGTGAGCAAACCACGCCACAACAGCATGTGCACACACCCCTTGTGCACATTCCCCATGTGCACCCCCCCTCCCCCATGCGCAACTCCCCCCCATCCTCCCCATGTGCATCCGCACCCCGCCCCTCCATGTGCACCCCACCCCCCAATGTGCGGCCCCCCATGTGCGGCCCCCCATGTGCGCCCCCCCATGCGCGCCCGTCCTCCCCAGGGACAGCGCACCTGTGATGGCCGTGGACCAGAGGTTCTCGGGCATGGCGGCGAGCTCTGTGTAGTTCACGGGGATCCTGACGATGTCCTGCCACCGCACCCCGGGCACGGGCGGATAGTAGGAGAGGCGGGAGGGGAGGATGCGAAAGCAGGGAGGAGGAGAGGGGAAAGGGATGGAGGAGAGAGGGGAGGGGAAAGGGAGGAGGAGAGGAGGAGGAGGAGGAGGAGGAGGAGGAGGAGGAGGAGGAGGAGGAGGAGGAGGAGGAGGAGGAGGAGGAGGAGAGAGAGGGAGGTTTTAAGCAAGGCAGATACTTACCGCCACCTGAAGGCTTACAAGCCAGGGGAGGAGAGAGCCAAGGGGATTGTGCCAGGCGCTCACCACATGCTCCCCATGGCTGTATGCGTTCGTGTGCGAGAGCATTGAGCAGTGAGCACAGCCCGAAAGAGTCTAACCCACCCGCATTCCATTCCGCATGCGCCTCGCACGCGAGGGGCGAGCAACACCACATGCCCCGCGCGCACCTCCTCGGAGTACCCGTGGGCGAGAATGGCGGCCGTGATTCGCGCCTCCTCCGTGTCGTTCAGCATCTTGTTCATCACCCATATGCGCCGCAGATCCGGCAGATCCTTTGGCTCGTGCTGTAACGCGTATAAAGTGTTCAGGTACAGCTGCCCGTCGCACTGCAGTGGCGGCATGTCGTTGCCGATCATGCGGTAGAGGAAGAAGCGCGGGGCGGATCCGCGCGCGGAGGGGGATGCGGCCTGGTCGCTGGCGAGCGGAAGGTGCGCGGAAGCGGCGGAGGCGGGCGGAGAGAGAGGCGCAGGGGAGGACCCGCGGAGGAGGCATAGCGCGGCGAGGGCGAGCGCCACAGCGGCCAGGGCGGAGATGGCGACGCGCGCTGCGCGGGATCTGAGGGCGTGGTGAGGGCGCGGGGGAGAGAGTGCTGGTGTCTTGGAGAATAGCGCGAGGGAGGCGGAGGGGAGCGGGGGGAGGTCGGCGCAGACGGACGAGGTGGCTCGCGGGCGACCGGAAGACATGGCGGGATTGGCGGCCAAGGCGGGCGGGGGAAGAGAGAGGGAAAGGGGGGTTGCGTCGCTGTTCGTCCTTCCCTTCCTTCTCCTGAAGGTTATCCTGAAAGTACTATCGCGGGACGCAAGAGGGCACAGGCGAGGCACACGTGGACATGCGGTGTGCCTCGATATGAGGCACGCGCCGCTACTTGAGCGCGTTAACGAAGCGCTATTTCGTAATAGTCCGCTCTGTGAGTTCAGGATCTTGCCAATGTGCCTGTAGGCAATGAATCTTTGAACCTACCCCAGGCCTTCAATTCTAGGTACACGACATTTCGTCTCTTTGATCAGATTCAGCCTGCGTAATTAACGGCGCGAAAGGGCCGCCGTTGGAAAGTTCCGCCGCAGCGCCCTCGTGTGCGATACGTTGCGTCGCTAGTGGAGTGAGGAGAACGCGTGCGTTCTCAAGTGGTGAAAGGCACGCTCGCTCGCCACCACTCCAACCCTTTCCCTCCAAAGCTCCCTCGTAATGTTTTCCCAAGAAAATTTACGACACCCAGCCCCTAGTTACAGCAATTCTTGATTTATACACTTGCCCTATCTATCATCTCCTTTTGGCTCATGAGGTAGCCCCTTAGCATTTTCCGGTTGTATCCATAAGACACCCCAAGTTGTAGAGGTATAAAAATGTTATCAAACATGATCAAGATGCTCAAATTTTAGTTCAACCTCAAGCGCATGGGCGATTTTTTTATGCGTTTCTGATTCAGACCTTGCACACATGATAAAGAGTCTGCGACAATAATGAAATCGAAATCGACCAGCCTTTAGTATCATATGTGACTAAGGTCTTTGCTATCATATCGGCCATGAGTGTTTGCTCTTGGGTGCGCTTTGACGGTGAAATTAGGGGGTTTAAAATTAACTGGGATCAAATCTATGCATTCGAATCCACGACGTACAACACTATTTACCGACTCGTCAAAGGTGGCGTCCTGAGAGGACAGAACACGGCGCGAGGTGAGGTGGTAAAACTGCCAACCAGGCGCCTCAGGGGGGAAGCCAAGGAAGACGCAGGGAACAGCACGGGGGGACAGCTTGTCCGCAG